GCAACATTTTTAAACATCTGTTATTATCAGTTGCATAATTAATTTAGATAAATTAATATTTCTCCTAAACGAAAACATATCGTTAAAAGGCATAAAATTCATTGTTCATATACGAGTCAACAGAATTTTGTATATTAAAATTAATAGCTCCCAAGTATATGTAGTATAACGACAATTTAAAAAGAGCCCATTGTTTAGACACGGAGAGTCTACATTTCTCCCACATACTTGTGGAGAATTTCAACTTCTCGTCGTATACGGAGTGTATGCAACATTTCGACATTTCCATGATTCCTGACATTCTCGATTCAGTTTTCAACGAATATTCAATGCAACGCATAAGATCGTTCGTTTTAAGAATCAGTAACATTTGCCTGTTCACTTTATCTAATACATTGCTAATTTGTGGTAGCAGGTTTGGTATTTCCTTCTGAAATTCTTCTTTCTCCTGCGTACCGTATTTGGTTTTTTGAACACCAGCCATAATCGTGTTCCACGATCGTCCGGATACCATGCAGGCCAGTAATCCGTACATATCGGCAACGCCTAAGTTAGCACAATGCTTTTGCATCGCAGACTTATCACCGTCGAATATCGCCAACCAGAGTTTAGAATACTCCCATCGAAATTCGTTTGATAAATTCGCGTATAGTCCATGATCCAGAAGTATGATTTCCGCTTCTTTGTTGTTCTTTTTTACCAATACATTCCCAGGGTGTGGATCGGAGTGTACGAAACCCACAATGAAGATCATGTGACTATAAAGCCGTCCCAATTTACTGCTGACTTCGTATGGATTCAGATTATTGTCTCGTATATATTTCAAATCGTTAATTTGACCTCCTTCCACAAACTCCATCGTTAATACTCGTCGCGAAGATATGTCCCAGTGTATCTTCGGTATTTTTAGCCAATGATAATGTGAAAATATCTCTTGTACTTTTTCGGCGTTCCTTCCTTCTTGCGTGAAGTCCAGCTCTCTAGGAATATTTTTTTTCGTTTCGTCCACAAGCCAGTCGAATTTAAAATCAGGAAACACCAATGACGTTAATTTCACTAGAACCGACATGGTTTTTATATCTACGTAGGAGTTCGTTTTGACTGACCGATGCTGAATCTTAACAGCTACGACGTCACCATTTTTTAATACTGCCTTATGCACTTGCGCTAAACTAGCAGTACCCAAAGGTTCAGGTTCGATGCTCTCAAATATTTCGTACGGGTCTTTCTTCAAGTCTTCTTTAATTACAGTGAGTACATCGTTGAACGATGACTGCGGTGCAGAACTATGTAATACTCTCAACGTATGAACATATTCTGGTGGCAATAGATAATCCAGTGCACCGATGTGTTGGCCTACTTTTATATAAACACCTTTGTTTGCACAACATAGCTCCAGCAGCTTCTCTGCTCCATATTTATGCACCTTCGACTTCAAATTTACGTAATCTTGCGTATGTGGTTTCACATTACTTCCATATAATTCATCTTTATAATGTTTTCCAATTATGAAAACAGTAACAGCAGCACGTCCTAATCGTATGATACCTATAGACCCAAGATCATATTCGTTCGCTCTTAAAGATGCTAGTGTGCCGAATCCAATGATACCAAGGGCAGTTCTTTTTAAGAATCGTCTAGATAAAAACATCATCAATTAAAGGTGAACTAATAGAATTTCCCTTTCCTATTATATATGGCGACCTAAAATGAAACAACATTAAGTAATAAAAATAAAGAATAATACTCATGTAATCCTTCTAGGTATTAAATTACCTTAAGATAAATTTAAAATTGTTCCTCCTTCCTGACAATTTTTCTTTATTGTGGAAACAGAATCAGGTACAAAAAGTTATGTAACAATATACTTGTGTTTTTTCAATTAGAAATTGTTAAATAAATTTCAATGACAAGTTAATAACCTAAGCTATGTACATGTAAGAGATATAACACAGTATTTATCTTAAATGATTTGAATCTTTCAATCTTTTAACTTCTTCTTCAAAAATATCCGATTACTTCTGTCTAATATTTGCGCGATTACTTGTTTCCTGTGGAAATGTGACATGATAACCTAATTTTGCTTAGAAGCTATTAACCTTTGCACACGTGGAATGACCATAGATTCCTATATCCATGGACCATAGACATCTAAGAGTAGACTCAGTAGACCGCGGGACCGGACTGAAAAGTCGGTAGAGCGAGCCCGTAGCCATTGGTAGCCATGATAGTGTGCAGTGCGTTATGAAAGTGTTGTGATTCTGTAATATAAAATCGTGTGTATAATTGATAATTACTAACGAATGTGAATAATTACAGTACGTGTTTATTCAAGTAAGAAGCGGAATGAATGTACGATCGTCATGAACGTTTTATTATATGTATATACAAATGTAGATACATGTTAACTTCGCGATCATGTGTAAGATTGGTTAGTTCTTAATCCAAGTGTTAATTAATTTGAATTGTCTCCTGTGTTTTGAGTAAACGTTAAATAATTAATGAAAATCACCATGGAAAACCAAAACGGCGCGACGGTTAAAAGCAACAACCCTGCTCCAACTGTAGAGCAGATTAACGCCGATCGAATTACTCAGGTAATTGTTTTTATGTATATTGTTATTCTACAAGTTAAATGAATCAGTTTTATTATAAAATAATTGATAACACATGTATTTTGGTTGTTACAGCTTGCAAACAAGTACTGGGCTCCGCATACAATGGATTCGCATCTTCCATTCTGCTCGCAAATAGTGGAAGATATTTATGTCCAAGAGATTTGTGCTTCTAAATTCTCAATTAGACGAATCATGATGCTGGAGTTTAGTCAGTATTTAGAAAATTTTCTATGGCCAAATTATGATACAAAAACTGCCACGCGTGCTCATACCATGTCGATTGTCGTCATGGTCAATGAGAAATTTAGAGAACGTGTTCAAGTTTGGGAAGCATTTGAAAAGAATCCAGAACACTTTCCAGAATTCTTTCAAAAAGTCTTAGAAGCATGCCTCGAGGAGAGCATAATGGACTTTGACTTGAAGGAGCAGACAGCATTAATTGTTTTCCTGAATCATTGCTTTAATTCTATGGAAGTGTTATTAGTTAGAGAAGAAGTGAAAAGATTAGTGTCATTGTCTATGTGGATTTCGCTACAGCAAGGTCGTAGGGAGTTGGAATTCAGAAAATATCCAAAGTGGAAGAAGTATTGGAAAGTGATTAGGAAAAAAGACAATCCTGAATTTAAGGAAAGATTAGAATGGGAACGTAAATTTTTACATAAATTGATGATAAAGTTTATGACGATATTGGAAACAGTTACTGAAGAAGGTAAAAGAATCTAGATATATTATGACGTGAAAACTGTTTTTTAAGGATATGTTAATGATTCGATTTATTTTTTGAACAGGACCACTTCTACCAGACAAGGTGCGTTATTGCGAGAGGTTTCTTGAATTGGTGATTGACTTAGAAGCTCTGTTACCAACGAGACGTTTCTTCAACACCGTAATGGACGATTGCCATTTGGTAGTAAGATGCCAGTTATCAAATTTACTACATCGCTCCGAGGGCGGATTATTTGGCCAGGTAAGTGATACTGTAAATATTTTCATACACGAGAGGAGAAAAAATAAGGACAACAAGCAGTATACGTAAAACTGTATTAAAACTGATTTTATGACAAATGATACATCATTTATACAAAAGTCATATACAAATATAAATACTAGATGAATGATAATATTCATGAAATGTTATTTGTATTCTATATGATAAATTAATTGAATATTTTACATCAATAAGTGCACATTCGTAAGGCAGAAGTAATTTTGTTTCAAGGCACGTATGATTAAATCGAATATTTTTGATAAATATAAATTTAATATAGTTTGTGCTAAAGCTAAAATTTATATGCTTTGTCTTGATAAACCTTTTATTCTTCTTTTGATATCTATATTTTTGCACATTAGTGCAGTCCGCAATCTCCATTACGCGATAAATAAATATTTGCTTTATGATCTTATCATCAAGCATTAGTTTAGAAATGCTCAGATTTCATTTGATATGTTGACTTAAATATTGCATGATACAATACTGTTTTCAATGAAAAGATTAAAATAGTTTCGACTATCACTCGAAATCAAATCATGATCACTTAGTATGTAAACATGTAAGTAGTCCTCTTTAATATCCCGCATTGATGGCAGTCATCTCTTCACCCCAGTCTAGTCCCTCGATATTTTCCCCTGAATTACAACAATTGCATGTTTTCCCAAGCAAGAACGTAACTCTTCTCTGTCCAAACACACAGACGTACAATATTAAAATTGCTTGAAGCAAATTAATCACTATGTGACAATATTCCAACGGCTCGTAATTCAGTCGTGAAAATAACAGCGACAACCAACCGGTACTCATTATTGCGAACAAGAAAACAAACATCCGGAAACTGTATTTCATTTTATGATGAATTCGACCGTATGTGCTCATGCGTTTTATCCTATTCGAAGTCGTTAATACGAAGCAAAAATCGACCATTATCGTTAATACGATCGACATAAATAATACCGAAATCCCGAGCCAACCAATAGTTTCTTGGGGTGGATACAAGGTTCCGGTAATGACGGGTTTGTTCGTTTCTAAAGCGAAATGTGCGAAAATCGATGAGCCCGCTATACAGATCGTCGAACCCCAGACATAACTAGAATAATAGCAGTACTTTCTGCCATCGGTTACTCTTAAAAATACGTTTCGCGAACGGAAAGTACTCCATACGTAATAACCCAATGCGTTCAGCCAGAAAAATGCAGCAAGCAGCGAGACATACATGACCGAATCTGTAAAAGAAATATGTATCATTTAAAATCTTCTTCAATTAAAAGTATCTCGAATGCATTTCTCATTGAGGAATGTTTTACGTATTCTCGTACCGGCCATCATAAAACTGACGTGATTGCCCAATTCCGTGAAAATTCTGACCATCGAGGCACATTGTCCGGTGATCAGGCACAAGGTCATGCTAGTTATCATATTCCCCACGAGATCACGTAGTTGCGGTAAAACGAAATAGACTACGGCGACGACCAGGTAACTGGCTATCGATATCGCATGGAAGGTCGGGTCGATCACGTGTTTCATCAAGTAATTGGTATCGGTCCATCCGAGGACCACGTCCGGCACGCAGATCATCGCGTACGTTGCCACCAATCGATCTCTACTCAAAATTGCCTTGTCCGCGCAATAATGCCCAAACGGGTAATCATAATGTATGGACGTCGTCTCGAGATCTTCGTCATCCGTAGTGTCGTCGTACCCATAAACACCGCCGCGTTCGTGCTTTCCTTTCGTCAAATCGGTGGTGTAGTGCCGTAAAACGCCAGTCGTTAGTATCGCGAGTCGGTCCTCGCCCGATCGATAATGATACACATTCCATTGTTGCTCGTTCGGCTGACACTTGGGTCTGCCGATTTTCAGCTGATAATTCGGCTTGACCGGTCTGTTGCGCGAAATGCCGTTCACCTTCTCCTCGACGAATTCTGGCCGCCACTCGGTCTCGTTCGTTTCCGTCAATGGCGTGCACGTGTCGTCGACGAGGAGTTCTTCGGGCTCGCAACACTTCGCGATGCTGATCAAGTTAGCTTTCCCGTCGTCCGCGAGAACGATCTGAGGATGATGACTCAACAAACCCAGCGTGCCAATCACTAGAACCAATGCACTTGCGGAACAATACATGTCATTCGATCGCCGCTGTTCCTTCTCTCTGTTCCTACCTCCGTTTCCGTACATACATTTGATTCGGTTCGGTGTTTGCGAAACCAACTTTCCGTCGCGGTTGAGTCGCACTCTTCTGAACGATTCCGCGAACGCTCGGCTCTTACCTTCGGCGACGTTGTATTTATTCGTTCATCGTTACGCGAGGATATACGGACTTCCCGTGTTATTCATCGCCATACCTGCCTGCCTGCCTGCCTGCCTGCCTGCAGTGCTGCTAGCGGGTTGCCCGCCTAGCGAGACCTACCCCTGCCCATACCCGCCGCCATCGCGTCCCATCCATTCTCATTCTCTGTTGCACTATCTTTTTTGTCTCTCTTTCTCTTACGTTTGTTCACTCGCTCAGCTCGGCTCGGCTCATTCGACACTCGTTCACTTCTCTTTTTTCTCCCTTCCCTTTTTCCCTCCTCCGGTGGCTTGTCTCATCGTTCCCCTCCTCTCTCAGTTCTGATACCCATCTTTACCTTTCTCGTTCGCTCCACGCAGATCTTTCCCATTGTGGATACGAGTCGTAAATGTCGCACTTACTAGTATTTGTACTATGCAATGATAAGGCAAAACATGATGTGTTAAAGCGTCTCATGTGCACGAACGTAATCTTACTCCAGATACTTATCACTCGGATTTTGGAATTTTACAAATCTCGCAATTAATCTTAGGATTATTTTTACGTTCTCCTCCTTAGCGATATTTTTTCACGAATGGGATTAGATTAATTACCATACGAAGGCTTCTATGTACTTGGAGCTCATTGTTATTTACATAAATGTGCGTTTATACAGCATCAATTTACAGACGTACATATTACAAATAAAATTATTCATTACTCTTGTTAAAAATTATATTTACACCAAACTGTTCTCTGTTTTTTTACGAATTTGTGAAAGAAATGAAAATAAAACATATGCTAAAAATTTTGTACAGATTGAAGTCGAAGGAATCGTATTTGCGTGCGACGCGCGGAAGACAGGTATGAGGGGTCTCCGCAACACGAACACCCTTCGCGTTCTCGGCTAAAATATTGATCATTTTAACGCATCGTGTTTCATCATTGACGTGCAAAGCGACGCGTTACATCTACACTTGTACACGTCGCGCGCACAACACTGATGCTAATTCCCATATCTGTCTGCACGTACGAAGCATCAGTTGCAATACTTAATGTGTGGGCAGCTACTCAATACGCCGTTGTTCCACTACGACGTTCTCGTTTATCCCGTCTCCGTTGGACAGGCCACTTGATTACCCGCGCACATTGCTTCGTTTAATCATAGTGTTTAATCATAGTTTCACTTAACAAGAAATACGATTCAAAGATCAACGTTACTTTCTTTTCAAAAATTCGCTTCATATCCTACAACCAATTCATATTTTGCTGTTGCATGAAAGATAAAATAGTAACGTCCTAATTTTATAAGTACGCTTCAAAGCATAGGTAGAATATATATGTAACGCATTCTTCATTATAAATATGTACGTATCATATTTGTATTTTATTATTATACAACAGACGAACACGATTTGTCTAACAATAAATAAGATTATTTAAATTCATTAATTTCGTATGCGTACTATAGCTTCGGCATTTGCGGCATCCATCGACTGATGCATTTTATATCACTAAAAGACGTCAGAAGTTCACGTGATTTAAGTCGAATCGTCGCCTAGCGATCTGTGATGCCGCGTCAGTCGACTAGAATGAAGACGTTCCCGCATACGCGGCTCTTCGGAGGGAAAAAATCAAGTCATTACGATGAATTACCACGATGAGTCGTTGGAATTTTTACGCATACGAGCGCGCCAAATAAGCTGAAACGTTGGCAATTGTTTCCTGGCTGTGCAAGTAATTTGCAAGCGAGAAGACATTAATCATGATCAATGATAATTGACTTATTTTTTAATACACAATGCTTGTTAATAGAGATTCTTCAAATAATCACCATTATTAATTGTCACGGCGATTCGTTCAAGATTATGATCAAACATGCTCACAATATAAAAAACAAAAAGAGACAATGTTCGACTAGAGGAATGGTAAAATAATATTGAATCTTTTTTCACGGTCATGATAAATAAGAACAACTCCTCATCTCATTATCATTACTCGTAATTACCATCGACTAATCAGCCATGTAAAATGAGACAAACATAAGAACTCGCACGTTCGGTTTCCTTATTGTTAGCCGTACCAACCAGTGTGCGAGGAATGTTATCATTCTACGTTAGTCATGTTGCGACAATTCAACCTCTTCAGCTAGTGCCTCCTCGCATTCTTCGTCCTCGTAGGCTGTCCAGGATTTCGGGAAATTAATCCCACAGAATTTCTTTTTGGCCAACAGCTTCCTGACACGTTTTCTCGTCGCCACCAGTAACAAGAATATTATGAACCCTTGCAGGGAGTTCAGTATATCCGTTACTATCCTAAATTGAAATTAGAAAACAGAGTTTAACGTCTACGAATTTGCTCTTACGTCGGGTATCAAAGCGATTCAATTCGTGAATGGAAAGTAAAGAAGAGAGTAGTAGGAAGTACCAGCAGATATTCTTCGTGGTATCGGCGAAGGAGAGTAGCTCAAATATCCATGTAATACCCATCACGAATATCAGTTTGATGTATAACAGACATTTAAAGCGAAGTGCACGCAATCTGCTTCCGCTATAATCGCGATATTGGTGCCATAAGCGCCAGCTGGTTAGCCCGAGATAGATAACGTTTAGTATCAATAGAATGGCGATCGGCCCGTAAAAGTACGTCCACGTTTGTACAGGTCCTGCAAAGAACGCGTTCACGTTAATGTAATAACTTTATAACATCGTCCATAGACGCGTTCCTTTTTTAAACCTCGAATCTTACCGCTGAACCAACAGCTTATTTCGCCGAACCCAGGTTTCATGTGGTCTCCTTCCGTGTAATGAGCGGCCATGGACACAGCCAAAAAACACATTGGCGCGCCCCAACCGAACATAGAGTAGATGATGAACAGTGGTTTATCTTTGATAGTAAAGTTTCTAAACCTAAAAAGGCAACGTTGCGAGATTACGTAAAAGTTAAGATTAAACGAACATGTGAAATAATTCAAACGTATTCGTTTACCAAACGACTCTCCATATATTGAAGGAAACGATGTTTAACCAGAAGAATACGGACATGAAGCAGAAGTATAAAATGAATGCTAAAACACGTAAATAAATTATTGGTTGGAGCTCGATGATTAGATGCTGGAAATCCGCTATCGCGTACCTAGGGAAATACATAATGCATCATCTCCGTCTCTTTGCGTTCTCAAATTCTGAATCGCTAGAATGATGTAGCTGACTGCCAGTGACGTGACTACGGCCATCATCGCTTTGTCTTGGATTTCTCTTAATTCGGGCAATGAGATGTAGACTGCTAGGGTGGTGATCAGGAATACAATGGACACCCCAAGGCTGATGAGCAATACGTACTCCCACGGTGATGTATCGTGATCCAATTCTGTTTCGGCGCATACCAACGCGACCTGCGTCCCGTTTGCCTTCTTTGCCACGCAGAACCTGAATATTTCGCGAGATCATTAAACATTCTTTTAAATATTATGCTAATAAATAGATTGTAGAATGAAACGCTGGTAGTCAGTTAAAAAATGAGTTTTATCATTTGAACATGACAATATCCACTTTGATATATTTTCGTACGTTGCATGCATTGTTTTTATATTTTCGTATAAACGCATAAAATTTGCAGTCTATCACAGTTTGAGAATTTGCTGAACATTGCGAAACGCAAACAATTTGTTAATATTCTGGACAAACCTTCGGTAAAAAAAAGACAAACACTTTCAGAAGTAGATATTGCATAGAGTTTCCTACGAGTGCCGAAACCGGTATTATACAAAGAAGAAGGATCGTCCTTTAGCAAGGCAAACCTGTTTAAATGGCTTTTAACGAAGGACATCGGATGGAAACAAGGTGAAACGAATCTCTTACCTGTCCATCGATAGTCTGTCATATTCCCAGTTCACGAATTCCAGCCAGTATTGCCCATATTTCTTCACGATGGTGAAATTATCGCTAGGGTTCTTGTCGGCGTCGATCATATAATTGCCCGACGAACAGGCCAGACGGACTTTCGTGCCATCGGTACAATTTATCGAAGACGACATCGTCGAGCCTCCTGGACAACAGTCAGCGTTGTCGCTCGCCCAGCTCGACGAGGTCGTGCATGCCAGCAGCAGACCGACCCATAGCAGCCCTGAAAACAAGTTCACGTTTCCTCAATCACGTACAGATCATCGTAAAACCGTCGACCTTCATCGAAAATATACGGGCCGATTAGATTAAATCGTAAGACCTGATGTCACGATTAATTCGTAATCCGTAGGAATGGTTTAAAGAAATCTTCAGTCATTTTTTTTCGAGCATATGAAATAGAGATTGGAGATATATCTGTTTGCGAGGATCGCGTGTTCGTTTACTATAAAACTGATTCAAAGCGTAAAACGAATTCCACGTGTATCTCAACGATTTGCGATATTTTATCGCTTTTCCACATAAAAACATAAATGGCCTGCGTTGATCTAATATCGCGATTCGAAGAACTTGTTGACAAGTTTGAAATCGATGAGAGAACTTACGAACGTGTTTCAACTTCATCAACGTCCTTTGTAGGTTGATATAATTTTCCTCTGACGATTATACAAATAAAATGTTTCTCATACTGCTTAATTGCCGATAAGATATGACGTGTTGCAGAAAATCGCATCGATATCAACGGGGACGATGCTGTATCAAGCACGTACGCGTGGTCGAATAAGTTCGAGAAGAAAACGCGATTTGATGACTGATGGTAACCCAGTTTAAATGCCAGCCTCTGCGCGTACGCGTGCACGCGCGTGCAGTATGAAACGATCGCGTTGAATGGAAAAAGGGATGCTGTTAGCGGGGACGCTCTTTATGCTCTCTCTTGGCTTCAATGCATCGCACTCGCTGCTCCTTTTTCATTCAGGTGCACATGTACCACGCGGACTTCTTTTATCTTCCGCGATTACCTTAACATTACGACTCGGTTAATCCAATTCATTCAATTACAGCATCCCCTAACGTGCCACTGTTTATTGTGTATTGTCTATTACTTGCCACGCTGAATGATATTACTTTGAAAATGGGCAGTAATTAGATCGCGGATTTTTATGCCAAATAAAACGTACAATTAATTAAAAATATGCATTTCAGGTAAAGGTGCCATTTATCATTTATTTATACTGGCTTTTAATAGTTATCTTTTTTACAGTTAAAAATCCATAAATCGTCTAGTTCTAATATGCTAGATAAATTTGTAATCTGTTGCGAAGAACGTGAACAGTCTAGTCAGCCTTTTTTATTAGAAGATAAAATCGTTCTCTATAAGAAGACCGTGATGTATTCAGCATAAGTAAAAATACTTCTTGAACGGTTTTTTGTTCGTAGTCTTGTATCAAAGGCCATTGATTGCAGAATTAATCGGACGTTTCTGGCTTTCGCACAAATGGGAATAGAAAGACGTATGCAATATGTATTAGAAGATACTTCAAAATTTGTATTATAATCCTCGTATCGCGTGTATCATTCTGTAAACGTAATTATCTCGGAATGTTACGTTGGTGGAAAGTTTGCACATCGCGTATACATTGGCTATTTTCCAATTTTTCGAATACTCTGTTTACGTGTTTGCCAACGGCGTAAGTTTTTCGTAATGTAAATGCATGTTTGAAAAGTGCACGAGTAATTCGTGATAACCATATCCTCCCATAGGAGTATATCTATGACAAGCTTATCAGTTGCGTGACCGGCGAAAAATAGATAAATATTTTTATTTTTACCACGGATGTTACGCAAGTCGCGTAATTTAGTACATGAAATTTTACGCATCTTCGTAGAATTCACCGCTGGCTACTTAGTAGGATAGCTCATTGAGAACGGGTTTATCTCGCAAATTGCTTCGCAAACAAACTTTGCTCGAATTACAGCATGGAACAGTCGTTCAAGCGTAAAATGTATGCAAATTCGAGACGAATAAAAATGTTTTTAGTCAGACTCGAGGCGTACCTCTTAATGGCATTGAAGCCTAAAAGATTTTACAGCAAAGCGTGAAAATCTGGATTATTAATAATTCTCGATGACTAGAGAATTTAAAAATTTTTTGTAAAAGACGTTTAATGAAACTGAGAGAAGAAAAAGATTTGACTATAGAATTTTACGCACCTTTAGCTGACAGTGTACTGGAGTATCTGTTATAGTTCACGTCCAACATCATCTCCAATATCTCATTTCTTCTTTTCTTTTGCAAAAACGAGAAACTCTTTTTACGAAAATCCACTAGTAATCTGAAAACCTTCTATCGATCTGCACTCCGTGATAGCGCAGTTGAATATGATTAAAATATTTGCACAGCTCGATGCAAAATCAGAAGTAACGATGGTTCAGTGTCATGTGTATTAATACGTATCGTTGTTTATTGATGACATATCCTTGCGATAAATTTTAGTGTTATAGGTCGTAGTGTGCATTATAAAACAAAAAATACGATTGTCACTTCCACAGGTCATTAAAAATCACTATTGAAGATCGTTCAAGACCAGAGGAGATGCGATCTTCGCGAGAGCGTCTCCCTTTTTCAACTTCGCTGAGTTCCCTCAACGAATGCTTATATTTATGTTTTGAACTTGAAGAAACACGGTATTGCGGTCAATTGGATGCAGAACTGTCCCCGATCAGTCGTTCGTGGGAAAAAAACCTTTGTAGTCACTGACTCGCCTATTCACCCGTTGAATGCATTTACTCCCTCAAGGTGTTATACAGAGCTCGATACCCTGAAGAAACATAACAAACAGCGAGGCACGTTGACACACTTGCGTCGCGCGTTAAACTGAAACAATCGTGGATTAACTTACCCGGTTGAAGATAGCACTTCTCCCACTTGTGCTTTCTGTTCCTAGCTCCCAGTTCACCACGGCGTGTCTTATCTCCTCTTCACTTCTTGAGGAGAATCGGTTTTTGTTGAACCGGTTTCTCATACTTGAGTCCCATTTTGAATTTTATCATCCCGTTTATCATCTGACCCTTTGTTTTTGCTCCTCCCATTTTATCAGTTCATTCTTTTCTCATCAATTTCCAATTTACAGACAGCATTAATTAAGGATGTATTGGCTATACAGTCAATCCCAAAAGTTTATGCACTTTAGAAACGCATTTTTTAAAAAGTCGGAAGAACATTGCTAATAATAAACAACAAAAAAAAAATTTTCGATTTTTCCGAGATTCTTCCAAGGGGTACCC